TGCAGGTGGAAGCAGCGTTATTCCTCTCTCTGTGAAATGTGCCATAACATTAAAGACCCGAGTTACTGCTCAGCACTTAACAGCTGTTGGCTTTTCCTTACAGCAGTAATACAATAGAGATGTTTCAACTGGGAGAAATATTTAATAAAATTGCAGGTCTGCAAGGTTTACTAGCAAAGGTGTTTATTCAACCTGAGCTCACATCTGCAAGACTTTAAAAAAATAATTTATCTATATACAAAAGATACCAGTAGCTTGAGTCATTTGCACACAAAATGACTCCACTTGACATGACAAGGTTTGCATTTTCTGATTCCCCTTACAGGAGGCCTAATCTGCTGTCACCAACACATACAAACTTTGTGTGTTTGAAAAGTTCATTGTCTGTTACTATGACCAAGCACAACACCGAGACAGCTGTGTCTCCTTCCTGTGTGTTCCAATGCTTTTCCTTAAAACCACATCCAGTACTACTAACAAAAAAAGGCAGCTTAAAAAATAAAGCTTAAAACAACTTTAAAAAAAGAAAGACACCTTTTTTTCCCCCCTTTTTTTTTCTTCTCCTTTTTGGATATCTACCTCCATCTGCTGCTTCCAAGTCTAATGCTCAGGAATAAATTAACCAGTCAGGAATACATATAATCTTCATAAACTGCTATATAAGTTAAGTTGTCATGAATTTATTAATTTTTATCAGCCCCTTCTTTTGCCCCAGTTTTGCAGTCTGTTCCTTCAACATCTATGTTTACTCCTGTGTATCTTCAAATTCCCTTGTAATATGCCTGTGAGCAAGAATCTACTGAGTGAAGCTTGCATACCTCCTTACCCTGACAGCATCTTCTTTAACTACTTACAAATCAGCATCAAGATGTGAGAGGATGAATATGATGACAACATGGGTTTCTACCCAATTTCCGTGACAGCACACTTTACAGATATTACTATGTTCAATGCATTAAGAATGCATTATCACAAATTTAGCTAGTCTATTCTGGAAACATGGTAGGAAATCACTGAATATAGTTCCAGTAAAATAAGAAAAATTTTGTTTTCATATCATTAGACTTTCTACAGGAACGAATGATGAAGAAAAGGTCAAGCTAAATTTTAAGATGATGTTTCAATCTGACAGCTCCTCTTTCTTGTGAATCCAGATGTGGTTAAAAACATAGTTATTTTGTAATCTATTGGAATATAACCCCATTTCTCTATGTAGTGGGGAGCAAGCTGCTGTGTTCATCACTGAATAACAAGTTTTTTTAAGAGAAATAAGAAAGAAGAAATTTATATTTTTATCCCCCAAAAAGGTTTTGCTATGTAAATAAAGTTAATGAATCTTTAAATTTAGTCACTTAATTAAAGACTATACCATAGTACAAATGCAAAAGGAAAGGAGGGAAAAGATACATTGGCATCCTCAGTTTGGGTATTTCCTTACTCTTATCCACTTAGCTGTTCAAACTGAACATTAGTTTAGCCATTGTTTTTTGTTTAGAAAAAAAAAAAATCAGATGGTCAGGAAATACACCTAAATCTGTCTTTACAGAAGTGACTGCGAGGTACAAAAAGATATTTTTAGAAGGAGCAATGCAAGTCTTTCAGCTTTTGCTGGAACAAGATGTGGAATAATCCAGGGATACTGGTAGAGGACCGTCAATATGAATTAAGTTAATTAAGGTGAGTTGTCAAATCCTTCCCAGTTACACTGGCAATGTCATGGTTGGAACAGATTGTTCTCTGAGAAAGAATGACATTTATTCAAAATAATATAGGTGGGGCGAACAAAAGGCTGAAGTATTGTTGTATATTTCTCTGCAGTGGTGGGTGGCTGCTTTTGCAGTTACTCCAAACCGATTTTAAGCTGGTTTGGGCACCTTTGGGCCTCTGAGTAGCTGAGGTGGGACAGCATGCATTGCGGGCTACAAACTCTCTGAGGAACCCAGCCAGCTTTTTCTGTGCTTGACTGTGCTGAATGTTTTCCCAACACAGTGATGCTGCTCTCACCCACCGTCTGAGACAGCAAAGCTCAAGCCCAGCTCAGACAGGTCTATACTGCATGACTTGCAGTGAAGGCACGTGACTTCCCCAGCACATCTAACCCTAAAGGCATAAAGTTGATTATATTTCCAGTTTTATTTCCAGACAAGCAAAAGAACATTATATTTTGGCAGGACAGGCATAGCCCTGCAAAATATGGTACATTGCAATAGATTATTTCATATGAGCTGGGAGGAAAATGTGAGAAGATTAATGTTTCTGTTTAAAAATGTCTGGGAGAATGACTCACAGGTAGATCTCGTTTAAAACCGAGGCAGCTTCTTGACCCATTGACTCTTACTCTGCTAAACCACTATGTATGCAAAATCCAACAGCCTGATGCATTTGCAGCTAAGTTGTCCAAAATTTCCACTGATGTCAAGAACAGGAATAATCATTTATGAGTGGAGACCCTTGCAACCAACACCAAAAATCACCTACAGGAATGTACATCGACTTGGGCATTTTGTCATGCCATTAAGTCTCCTTTCAAGCATAATTTTTGACTTTGAGAAGAAACAACAGAGCAAGGAGAGCACCATTTCTCTCTAGCAAAGAGTTTTATATATTTTGATTTAAGGTGACTTATGGTATATATCTTCAGAATTTTTCATCTGTGTGTCATTTGTTCAGAGGAAATCCTGAATCCAGCCTTACAAACTCCAGCCACATGAATAAAATAAATGACTTCTGGAAATTCATATGCATATGAGCTAACCATCTGAGATAATTATCATACCTGACTGCTTTCTGAAAGTAACGTTCTTCTTTTAGATCGGAATTACATTGCATTGTGATGCACATTTTAAAAAGATTTTTTTTGAGGGCATGGCAGATTGACATATGTTTGGGCAGCAGAATTAAATGTTAACTCTAAATATAGTCTAGCCAAATTAATATAATTGCTGGGATTACTTTTTTTTTTTCAATGTTCCTTGTATACTTGGGAGAGAAACAGTAAATTTACCTTCAAACATACATTTCCTTGTCCAATTCATATTTGTGATATATTCGCCAGTTATTAATTAAAAAGCAGATGTTAATGCTCATTTTCATGCCATAAAATCATCTGCTTTTTGTCCTCATTAAGCCTCTTTTTTTTTTTTTTTTTTGTTAAGCAAGACTCTTGAAAAATTTATATTTATACTCGGAGCTCTACATTAATTTTTAGGCATAAATCCCATTCATCTCTTCATCTCAGTGGGTCTCAATGGGATTTTTGCCTGATGTAAGACTAGAAGATGGAGATCTGATGTTCATGCATTTTGACAAAAACATCTTAACACATTTTGAGTTCTTCAGTGCTGACAGTATTGATTGTTTTTTTTTCTCCACATCCTACCAACTCAGTACATTGAATATTTAATAATAGAGGTGATATGAGGCCCCATTGTCTGACTCATATAAATCACATAATAATTGAAACCAAATCTTCCTTCTTTATAGTGTATGCAAGGCTGAAAATTGATCTAAATGAATACAATCAATGTCTTTCAAAAAATCCCATATATATCAGTGGTAATGTGAAAGAACATAGAATAAAACGGACATTTTAAAAAAATGAACCAATATTTTAATTTTAAAATATTTTGCTGCCACCTTCTGGAATTTAATAAAATGTGTATCTCAGTTGTTTGTAATATAGACATAATCTAGCTTTCAGCAGCAATTGCTAACATTATTACAGAGAAAACATACATACATTTCTTCTTTATTACTTTTTGAATTCTCAACAAGTGTGCCCAATTTCACCTTCCACAGAGAGATGGAATAGCACAGATTCAAGTTCAAAGCTTTCATACATGAATAAAATAGCGGGGAAAAAAATATGCATCAAGCAAAACTCCCAACAAATGCCATGAATAATCAGCAGATCAAGCATTATTTGGTCATAAAGAAATACAGGTAGAAAAAGCAAGAAGCTGCTCACAGATAAGTATCAATTAATGATTCACAATTAATTGTTAGTTTAAATCCAAGGTTACTTGTTAGAACTTGGGGCCCCTTTCCCGCAGGTGTGTTGTGGCACTGCTTTTAAAACATAACTCTCCATAAATAAACAAGACGCAAACAAGTCCTAAGGGTCTGGGCTCTGTCCTACATGCTCTATCCCTGCTCCTGTCGGAGAGATTTTTCTTCTGCACATCTGAAAATGTAAGGCATTTGTGGGGAAGATTAATATATGCAAATATAACACCAGTACAGAGAACATGTTAGAAGTTCTTTGTTATCACTAAGACAACTGGAGCACTGGTCTTATTTTAGAAAAGGACCGATCAGAAGTATTTAAACTGGAGAACGGACCGAAATGTCGGTATCGGTACGTGGTCCGGAACTCGACGCTTTTCTCCGGTGTGCGAGGTCGATGCTCCCCGCACATCCCGGGCTTCGGCCGCCTCCACGGCCGCTCGCCCGGCGGCCACTCGGCCCCGGGGACGGCCAGCTCTGCAGGGCCCTCGGGCCACCACCCCCCTGGGGAGACGCGAATCCGGGTGTTACGAGCTGCAAGCACCAGCGGATTTGCTTCTACGCCACTATCATGCCTTCATCTCTGAAAGTTCGTTTAAATTAACACACCGGTGCTATGAGGGTTTGTTTTTTTGGTTTTTTTTTTTTTTTTCCCCAGAAAGCACTAGAATGAATTTGTTCCTCACAAAAGGCGTTGCCTACATCATTGCTGAAATCCCACGTAGGAATTTCTGGACAATTACGTGACAGTAAGAGTGGGGTTGATGAACCTGTCAGCCCCGTCTCCGGCTACAGTGGCATGCCCTGGGCGGCATACGTGTTCGTGTGCATCTCGTGGGACCAGGTACATGGGTTATATGTAGAAATGGGCATAAACAATAAATCCCGCTGACTTCAGCTGGTTTCTGCAAAGCACGGGTGAAGCCTGACTTTGGCCCAGGTAGGAAAGCTGCTCGGAGGCGCCAAGGCGGCCTCAGTTTTGTCGCACAGACGCGCCCGTCCCTCTGCCGTACCCCAACGCCTATGCGCGCTGCCACGGAGAACGGAGCCCGCGGGGCGCGGGGTGAGGGGCGGGAGCTCCGCGCTGCAAAACGCAGGGTCGCCGCCGCGGCCGGAGGGCGGAGGCCCAGCCGCGGGCCGCCGCCGCCATTTACCCGCGCCCTCCTCAGCGGCGGCGTTGCCGGGTGACGGGCAGCGCCGCGGCGGGGCCGGGGCTGTCGGAAGGGCCGGAGGCGCTGGCCGGCGGGAGGGAGAGGCCGCCGCCATGTCGGGGGAAGGCGGCGGCAGGCGGGCGGCGAAGGTGAGCGGCGGCGGCGGCGGCGGCAGGCAGGGAGGGAGGGAGGGAGGCCGCGGGCGGGGGCTCTGCCTGCGGGGCCGGGGAGCGGCGGCTGCGGTAACGCGCGAAAAAGCCGATTGTCTATGGAAATGAAAACTGGGAGGCAGGTCTCCTTCGGTGTGGAGGCTGGAGCTGCTCCCCGTGCGTGACCAGGGGAGCGGCCGGTCCAAGGCTTCTCTGCTCCCGATAGTGCTGCCACAGTGGCTCTGGCTGAAGGGCCCGCAGTGGCCAACGGCAGGTGCCTTGGGAGGAGGGTAAAACCCAGCTCAGGCACCCTGCTCTCAAGCCTTCGGTGGTTTGTGGCTCAGGGTCTTCCAATCTGGAGAGACTTCTGCCTTGCGTAATGTATTTTTAATCAGTTAGTAAAGCCAGCTGCTTTCAGAACCCGTGTCAACATGGTGTGTCTGTGATGTCCTGTGGCAAAGAGTCCAAAATACCGGTGGTGGTTTACGTGAAGTTCTTCCGTTGTTTTGGTCCTGCCGCCTGCTTCACGTTCTTGTACTGCATCAGTCAGTGACGAGGTTGTCCCTGATCACTCTCCCTGTCACCCGTGACTGTACAGACCTTTTTGTTGTATTCTTGCCAATCAAAACATATAAAAGGGGGGAAGAGTGGCACATGGTGATACAACATCATTATTGCCAAAAATTTAGAGGGAACTGCAAGATACGTTTTTTATAAAGGAAGGAATAGAAATTAATACATGGAGGTGGTTTTTTTTTTAACACAGAAAAATGGGGGAATGATGATAGAGTGAAAACACTGTATTTTACTTACCCTTGACAATAATGTTCAGTTAAATGGGTTAATCTCTGTTGCTGTTTTATTTCTGTATGTGTGGGAGGGGGGAATTAGTGCTGAACTTGAAGAAGTGAGTCTTCCCTTCTGTGTAAAACTTACTTGTGAAACCATTTCAGGATGAGCACCAAGAAGCAATTTCTGCTCATGCAGCAAGAGAGCAAACAGCAGAATACTCAGATGACTTTGAGAGTGATGAAGATGTCATGTTAAATGGTAAGACAGGATTAATTTTTTTTTCATCATATTTTTCCTTTTCTTAACTCATTACTAGATCGGAGAGAATCTTGGTGGGTCAGTATGATTTAATGTTCCAAGATTTCATATTTTAAGAACTTCTAAATCACTTAGTCCTCCTCTTCCAAGGTAGGAGCAGAATTCCCAGTGAAATCAGTGGTGGTGCCAGCCTGTTAGACCGGACAGTCTGTGCTGTTGCCTACAGTTGTGGGGCCCAGTTTCACTCCTTACCCATATTGTTTACTCGACACCTGAATGAGACTGTAGCGCACAGTACTGTGAATGGAAGTGGGTACGGGCAAACAGAAAGCCGTGTTCTTGTCTTACTGTTTTCCCAGTTTGGACAATCACTGAATAAGGGCTGCAGGACACAGGGCAGAGCATGCATGCCTGGCAGCGTGCACAAACCAGGGACAGATTTGATCTGGCTGTTTTTCTTGGGACAGGATGTATTTGATATTTGGTAATATTTATGTTTAGTCTGACAAGATTGGCCGAATGGCTCTTCTGTCTCCTGATAGGCTGCTGCATGTTGAGGGAAATCTGCATCTTAAATATCATGATGTATTTTTAAAAGGACCTCCTCTGTCTCCTGTTTTTCATTCACATCTGAAACATCTTTTAAAAGTTCATGGAATGCTTTGATTTCCCTTTGCTGACAAGATTTAGAAAAAAACCTCCTGCATTAAATATGTTACTCAGCTATCATGACATTGTTTTGTCATCTTCCTTGAGCATTTGAACTCTGAAATAAAGTCCATTAGAAATAACAGGCTACAGGAAGATAAAAATATTTTTATTAAACATGTGAACCTTAACATTGGAGCAGATACCTCCTTTGAGTATCTTATAGCAGACTTCAGATGGGACAGAAGTGAAGAGAATAGAAGGGGAGGATGGATTCCGGTAACCAAGCATGCCTAACTTTGTTGTTGTTGACTTGCTTTTACCTACAGCGTTAGAGACAGTTTTTTAGAAGGGATTTCAATTGCATGACGGATAAGCATTAACCAGTGAGTATTTCAAGTATTTGCTTCGTATTGGGTCCACGAAAACATGACAGGAAAGGAAATAGAGTGAGGATCTAGTTTGGTGTCTTTGCAGAGATCAGAGGTGCAGGAAGAAAAATGCTCATAGACTGAAGTCAGAAGAGTGTCACATGAAAAATACTTATAAATGGTAGTAGAATTTATCTATAAATCTGTGTCCTATTTTATCCACTTATCTCAAAACAGAAGCTGATAATGTGCTATTTTCAGGTATCGAGGAAGAACTTAATGAAAGTAATTCAGCTGCTGAAAGCCCTAAGAAATCAGTTGCTGTTGAGAGACCTCTCTCAGATGATGATGCTTCACAAAAAGCAGCAGATTTGGAAAATGAAGCTGCTGATGACTTGACTTTATCCTGTCATGAAAAGAAGCTTCAGCAAATAATGCTTTCAGAAAATGAAAACATACAGGATGACAGAGAAGATGGTGAAAAAGGAAGTTTGGAAAGTCAAAATGAGGGTGATGACAGAAAAAATAATGAAGAGTGTTCAACTGCTGAAGTACCGTGTGATAATATTGGAAGTGACCACTATAGTGACTTGAATATTCATAAACTACAGAAAAAAGGAAATCAGGAGGAAAACAAACCAATACCAAAGCCACGGGTGCACAAAACCAGAAACACTTCAGCCTCAGGTGAAGAGAAAGCATTTGAATGTTGTTGTTGCTACTTGCTTAGCCATATTACAATATTTTAAAGTGTTGTAATCAGGGTTATTTTCTGTGTTACGTGTTAGCTGCTTTGCCTTGCGGGGAATTTATTGAATATTCTTCTAAAAATACATGTTTTGATAACCTCCAGCTGCCAGGGGTTAAACTGAGCCAGTGCGGTCCAAGTAGCAGGAGGTTCCTATTTGCCTTTTCCTTTCAGGAGATGAAAACCAGCTGTTTGGGTACTTAAAGTCCAGCTCTCCATCAGTTCATGTCCATGGAAGGCGTGGGAGGGCTACAGTGTTGCCTCCTCTGCCTGTGAGTGCAGAATGTCATGTTCACACCCATGCACCCTTTAATGGCGAGGTCATTAAGCAGGCATCCCTTCCCTGTGACCAGTGAGGTTGGACCAGGGTGTTTGCAAATACAGTGTTGAAGTTGCGATGCTGTAACATAACAGAATGTCAGAAAATGAGCTGTAACCAAAACATCTATGAATGGTAGACTTCTCACCATCACAGAGTTAAAATTTCAAATGATCTTTTACTTCAAAGATACTGAGCCGCTTTAGATGCGTAGTCAAACGTGTAAAAAATCTGAACTTTAATGAGAATATCTTCATTAATTTTTAATATGCAAAGTGTAACTTGGAATTCTGCTAATTGGCTGTATATGCTTTTACAAATTTAAAGGGTCAAAAGAGTTCATATTTTTTATCTGCTTCATAGTACAAGAAGAATTTCTCCTATTTAATGTTGAGAGAAATTTATGGCCGGTCATTACCTGTGATGGAAGATTACAACTTTGAAATTGATAAGAGCATGATTAGTGATAACAGCTCCATTTTTTCTTTCTAGCACCAAAATGCTAGAAATGTGAGTGTGCAGCTGGGCACTCCAGATGCCGCTCTTTCCTGGCCAGTATGCCTGTGTAGTTTTAGACTGGCAGAAAAACGTTGAAGTACTCTTTTTTTCTTCATGTGAATCTAAGTAGTATGGTGATACTGGCATACTGTCTTCAGTAGTCAACCATTGTAAATTTTCTTATATTAAATAAATCAATCTCTCTGCAACAGAGGAGCTGATTTGTCCAGGGACTAATCTTTTTCTGCTCCTCAGATTTCTCTTGTGATTTACTGCATGGAAAAACTGTCGGTGCACTTGTAGGAATATTGTTGTGACCTTTTAGCTCTCTAAGCTTCACACTAATTAGACTTTACTCAGCTGAGTGTGCTGAATAGGCACAGTGATTCTCCCATTTCCTGCGATAGATTGTATGGACTAGGACTTTACAAGAAATGCTTCTTGGGCAGTGTGCAGAATTAGATAAGCATTACTGTGTGGATCAGCATACGTAAGGTAAAAGGCAGGTAGAAAAACATTGGATGGCTTGATCTTGATGGTGGCAGGGCAGGGGGAAGAAAACATGAAGAAGATAGGGTTACTAAACAGGAGGAAGGTGAAAGCCAGAGGATAGAAATCTGTAAGAAACAGTTGCATGATGGTTCTGCTGCCCAGTGATTGCCTTAGGGAGCGAACAGAGACACCACTGAAAAAGCTAGAAATAAACTGCAATCCCTCCCCTTTGACTGCATTTCTCATGATGTCTTCTCCTACCAAGGGTTGTTCTGTTCTGCACCTCGCAGAGAGGCAGTCTTCCGTTTGTATCTTCACTAGTAGATAACTAGACAAGCAGAACAGCAAAAATGTTTTCTTACAACAGTGCTGTGTTAGATACATGCTCTCTTCTGTATTATGAAAACTGTCTCTCCAGTTGCCCATAAGCCCTTGAGTGTAGTTTCAGTATATACAGAGATAATGATAAATGGAAAAAGTAAGTTCATAGATTGTCTACATAGAGATGATAATAGCTTTAAAACTTGCATTAAACTTTCTGAAAAAGTGGCTGTAACTCTTTATATAGCTGTCTGGATAGGACCTCACTGTGTTAAGAAAGCTGTGCTATTATTTAAGTAGCTCATTTAACTGAAAATACTTAGTTGAATCTGTCTTGACAAAAGTGTTCCAGACTAAAATGTCTTTAGACATAACTGAAATGATAATGTTTATTTTCAGCTGAGAATATCAGCATTCCTTTACTAGTTAGCTGTTATAAACTATCACCTCAGCCAAGAAGTATGTGGAGAAAATGTGGTCCTGTGGAAGATAATGAGCTTAATAGGTCAGAAGGAAAAATAACTTCTAGAAATGGATTTTCTTTATTTTCCTCACCATCATCCCTAACTACTTTGAGTGCCCAAGCCATGCCCAAGATAGAACTGCTTGATGAAAGCCCTGGTCCTGAAGTAGGAGAGCATGTGTGTTGATTTTTCACCATCTACATTAAAAACGTTGGAAACTACTTTCTATTCAGCTAACGAATTTTTTCGGAGAAAATTAGGACAAAAATACGAGTGGGGAAAAAAATGTCTTTGTGGTAGCATTCTTATAATGAGGGCCAGATAAGAGAACATCATTCTTTTTCTTTCAAACTAGAAACAAGATTTTGTGATGGTTTGCAGCCTTAAGTGCTGATTGGTTTTATTTCTTCAAATGCACAACAAGAATTATACTTTTCCTAGAGAACTCTGAACAAACTTTCTATTGAAGTATTATAAAGTCAAGTTAAACTATACTAATTTGTTACAAATTGCTCACATTAATTTGTCACTGTCTGATCTAAGGGTCCATGGCTAGAAAGTACTTCACCACAATTTTCCATTAATTTTACTTCCCACAATGAAAGATCTGGAGGCTCTGATTTACTGATGTGTGGAGAAGCACCACCTGTAAAAGGTAGAACTTCGATATGCACAACCAGATAACTGTTACCATTTAAACCTTAGTAATATCTAATGGTCCAGTACAAGTCTTAAAATTAGTGGTGTTCTTAATTTCCTTTCTGCTTTCTTTAAGTATCTTTCTCATGCCCTTGTGTCAACTCCTGATACGTTTTTGAGAATGGCCCAGCATCGTTCTTTCAGTTATGTCCACGTACGGTGTCATTCCACGTATTGCGGAATTTGGCCCTAGAGGCATCCCAGGAATGGGGAGGAACTGACTGAAGTTTGAGAATTTGGCTTTTGTGCTTTGACTTATGTCAAGTGTATGCATCATTGTCTAGGCATCTTTGAGACTTAAAGCAAGGAATTTTGATTTCATTACCTTTTTTTGCAGCAAGGAATTTTGATTTCATTACCTCTTTTGCAGTCAACATGATTAGGATAAACCTTTCACTTCTTCCTGCACCTTTCCCACGAAGTATAATTCAAACTGAGTAGTCCTTTTCTATTTTTTTTGGATTTGTGAATCCCTAGCAATCCTTAGGGGATGTGCAGACCCTTTAAGAAATATCAAATCTGTAGGTTTCTCAGCAGTATCCATCGAGGTTAGCTTTCGTAGTCCCCTTTTTCACCTGGTTACAAAAAATTCACGGACCCCAGGTTGAAAAGCACTGCAATAGGCTGTTAGACACCTCCTTTAATTTGCTAAGGGAATCATACTGGGGGGTAATTTGCTGTGTGCAGGACTGCAACAGATAGGTAACAGAATGTCAGATGCAGCTAGAATGCTGTGTGGCCTGTGTAATGTCTATATGCCGCAGACTAATGGATAAAAGGTAGGACTTGGCTTGAAGAATTTAGTGTAGAAAGGTGAATAAAAGTAGAAAACTCAGGCAATGTACTGAGTAGTAAGTAACAAATATGCTTAGATCTGTGATTAATTTCAGTTCCTTTTTATATTTTGCTAATACCTTGGATTAGAAAATTTGTTTGGTATAGTTTGGTGTTTTTAAGCACCATTAATGAAACAGCGTCTAAGAAGAGTTTGTATGGGGAAGAGGATGTGATCATCAGTGTACTGGGATGTGTAGATTCTCCGAGTGCAGGGACAGCATAAGAGAAAGAGAATAATAAAGGAGCAAATAATGTGAGGAGAAAGGAGGACATAGAAGCAACAATGGTGTGGAGGAGAAGGGATTGGAAAAGATTGTTTAAATATACTGAAATGTACACGCGTAAGATTTCTAAGCAGACTGATCAAACTTGTGTAGCTCAAACTGTCAAGAAAGAAACTGCAATAATACAGGTTTTATGTGACATTTCTTAGCTAACCATGGGAAGGTTAATATTTTGTATCCATTTTGCAAACAGAGACAAACTGACTTGCACGTGAAGTTCTGTGAAGTTCATGCTACGGACTGCTTATAGTCAGCAGTAAATCTGCTGTTGCCAGTGCCACAGCTTAATCAGAATTGTACAGTTTCGGATGCCTACAGTTGATATACAGTTGTACTATCTAGTCAGTGTAAAGTAAAATATGAAAGTTTACATATTAACAGAGGATAGAAAATGGTTCCTGTAAATTCAGAGATCTCCTTGTCACCTTGAGCTTACCTTCATCATTGTAAATCTAGGTTAAATGTCTTGGATTGTCATCATTGATATTATTTTCTTCAGGTAACTTGCAGTTAATCTCTCATCCAGAATTTACATTTCTCTTAAGCATACCATCGGAAAATTGTGGAAGACTGTAATTTGAAATTTACCATGGCCTTTTTTGGTTTGTCCCTGAATTGTTTTACAAATTTAGATCTCTGCATTAATTGCAGTTCAGATCTGAAAAAATGTTTTTTAAGTATTATTAATAAAGTGTTTTATAAATGACAGTTTCACCACTTAGGCATACATTTAAATTGAAGTGATTTGTGTAAATCCCCACCTTAGAATCTTTCCATTATTTCCTTGTGTCCCACACCCCTGAAAAACACAAAATTTTCAAATTGTCAAAAATTTCAAAATACCCAATTTGTCTTACAGACTTCATTAGTAGTTTGCTAAATGTCAGAAGAGCTCAGTGGCTCTTGCTTTTGTTTTCTACACTAGAACCATGTTTGGGGTGGTAAGACAGGTGGGAAGTTTTGTCTGTCATGCTCTCACACTCTATAACATTTGTTAAAACTTCAGTTGCTACTCCAGTCTTACATTTAAATACAATACAATACAAATTATTATTCTTCTTACTAGTCCACATAGTTCTTGAAGTATACAGAAAGTTTATTATATTAAATTTAGTAATATGTTTCATAAACAGATGGTTTTAGTACAGGAATAACAATACTCAGGAAAGATGAAATTCTTGTTAATGTGTTCTCTGAATCTTTTTTCTCCCGTTAGATCAAGATCAGAAGAAGATGAGCACTAGTGACTTGAAACTGGAGGATGATAGTAGAAAAACCTCTTCTGTGATAGAAGTAATGACCACCACAGCATATGAGAAAACAAAGAAGTTAGAGAAGTCAACAGAGGACAGTTCAGATGAAACAGTGAAAATAGTGGAAGCGCAAATAGTAACTGATACAGTACCAGAGGTAGCAGTGAATGATCAGTCAGAGCATGGGGAGTCAACGACCACTTCAAGAGAATCTGTCAAGGTGTCGTTCATACGCATTTTTACCATTGTTTAGAACAGTGTCCTAGAAGCGTGGCAAGAAGTTTTGTAAAGTTGCTGTCGGTAGCTTAAATGTACAGAACTCTGTTAGTAAAGCTGACAGTTTTCCTCTGGCTTCTAGAGCTGAGGCTCTTACAAATTCTGTAAAGTTTTATGGAAAATTTTACCCAAATCATTTAAACCAGATAAAGGTATTGAAATGTGTGTTTTCCAATCTTAAGGAAATACCCTTATCCATGTGAAAATGTCAAATCTATACTGTGGGGTTAGCTGAATTGGGATGAGCAGTGTATGCTGGCAGAGGGTGAAATCCATGGTGTGACTTGAATAATGGATAAGATGCAAAGCACTTTAAGCTTTATCACAAGAAAGAAAATATGTAGATATATGTAATTGTTAGATCTAAATATTAAAAACAGTTAAAAGCATTGATATGGTAAAGGGGCTGGGTTCTTTTTATTCCTTTGTACTTCTAAACTATAGACTATATTTTTACATAATACAAAGATACTTTTCTAGGTGCCATTTCAAAAAGATACAGACATTCTGAAAGTTTGTCTGGTTAGTTTGTTTGGTTTGTTGTTTTGTTAGTTTCTTTTAACTTTCTTACCCTGTACTGTACCCTTTCTATATTAGAGTGGCTTTCTTGCATGTTTTTCTAACACCATAGAATCACAGAATAGCTCGAGTTGGAAGGGACCCATAAAGGTCATTGAGTCCAATTGCCAACATCCTTGTTAGCTTGTAAAAATCTATTTCATCCTGATCTAGTTCTGTTGCTTGAGAGACTCTCTAATTTTACTTTTCCTCTGTGTTTCTTAGAAACTAAGTGAAACAAAGGAGAGAATTCTACAAAACCCAAGAGCTTCTTTATCTGACAGGTAAGAGAAAGGTGCTGTGTGTCAGTCTGCAGAGTGTAAGATGCATGTAAGTGCCCTGACGATGCTGCTTCACTCTCGTTTTCTGCCAGCATTGTCTTCACTGCTGACAATCTCTGACCGTCTGTGAAAAACAGTTTAGTAGATATGGCATGTTATTATAACCCTTCCTCGGGGTTATATCAGATCAGACTCCAAGTCTTTTGCCGGTGTCTATGATGAGTGTGTGCTACTGCATTCACCAATTAATCCAGTCCGTATGTCTTTACAGGTTTTAAGCTGTTTGTAGATGAAAGTGTAAGGAATTTTTAAACTTTCTTGGGTTGGATATGTTGAGTAATGGCTTGTTTTGGCAATAATAAAGCCCCCGGAAGAAAATGGGCTTCTTCCTCCTTTCCTTTCCCCTATCCTCAGCCAAGTGAATGTAGAAACAGAATCACAGTAACTTTCGGTGCACACTGAACAAGGAACACTACTTGGTGTCAGCTGCAATAAATGGGAAGATTGTTAATATGTTTGTGTCTTGGTATTTTTATAGGTCTCTGTCTTCTGCGCACTTAAGGAAAAAGGTGAAAGCTGTTCCACCAGCTACATCTGTATCATCTCAATATCTGGGATCATTAAAGGTGTTGGAAGATAAACGGGTGCAGAAGAACAGTACAGAATTTGACAAAGCAGATAGTTTACGAGCAGCTGTTTTCCAGGTAGATCTTAAACAAATAAAAAATTAACAAAACAATGGACAAACGAATCTATGTATATAAAGGTCCTGCTGGAGTAGTTAACACCTCTTATTTTCTTGAAATCAGTATTTCTGAGTATATTCCTTGCCAATGCTTGCAGGTGTAATAATCCTTTTATTCTGTTGGATATGCCTTTTCATCAAATTGCAAACTAAAAAGCTAGATGAGAGGGACATACCATGGTTCATAATTTACTGTGTAAGGCTATTTTCAGACAAATATATTATTTTCCTTTATTTCTTCTTCTTCCTTAGCGTAAGTAAGTGTGTAGTTTAAAGCTTATTTTCCTGATACGTTCTATTCAGTTGGAATTTAGGAAAAGTGAAAGCAAATCTAGTGTTATCTCCAGAAGGTTGATCTATGTTGGCTTTGTATAGAATTTCGTAACAGTTAGTTTGTGGGTTCCAACAGATTTTTGCTACTAATCTGTGTGAGAAAAACTTTTATTAACAGATGCTATTCATATTGGTATGTGACTTTAATACTTGTTATGGTTCTGGAACAAAATTTAGAACATCAGATCTATATTTGTGTTGTTTCCATAATGTTAAAAGGTAAAATAGACTTAATTTAGTACACTTGTATCTCTAAGCAGCATACCAAATATATAGTTAAACCTTGAAAATTTAAGCCTGATTCTGCAAGTGGCTCATAACACTTTATGAATGCCCAAAGTCTCACTCTTCCTAGTTGGATTTGATTCTCTTTTTAAGTATTTGCAAGAAAGACAATAAATGTAAATACTAATCCTATATACCAAGTGATAAGAATCTTTATTCCATTCTTCTTTTTAATTTTTTTTAATACTTTCATCTTTTGTGATTTTTTTGAAGATTTTTTTTTTTTTTGGAAGATCCTTAAACTTTTCATATTTTGTAGCTATGATTTTAGAACCTTAAATGTTTTTGATCACAATGTTTGTGTGATCACAGCTTCGTCTTCCACATGGTATAATTATTTAAGTAGCATGTGGAAGAATTAATTTTGGTGGTCATTATATTGGTGCTGCTCTAATAATATTTGGTTGTTTTAACCCAGCTTTTTTTAGTTGTACCTTAAAAGGACTTTAAAAGTATAAAAGTCTTCTAATGATTCTTACAGAACTGGTTGGAAAAGAAAAGGATCTTTCTACTGGAATTAAAGAGAACTGAAAAGAAGAAAGCTGAAAATCTAAGGAACAATGCTGAAAAGGTTTGTTTACATTCTTGTTTGAAAAGAAGTTGACAAACTATAATTTTTTCAAGTATGCATTTCTGTGCTTTCTTCCTAATTACATCACTCTGCTATTTAAGGCATCTGGTGTTCTCTAAATAGCATGAGGTGAACTGAAACAGCAAATGGCATGTCCCACTTGTTATGGTTTCTGTAAAGGGTGTGTGGCTGATGCTTCCCTACACATTTATGTAAGGTATGTTAAAAGTGTGCTGCTTAGATTAATTTTCAGGTTTGATTACAAAGACCTTGGGATATTCAGCTCTTCAGGTGTTAAATTATAATTTCTCATCTGTAAGAAAATGAGTTTGCTCCCTATCTCAAGAGATGCTTATCTACAGAGGACTGTATTTTGAATAGTACTATACACAGTTCCTAGATTTGGCTTTTCAGTATTTAATATGTTTCACTTCTAAGCATTTAACATGTATTTCATATTCTACACTTACTTTGCAGGAGTAGTTTGTCTCAATTAAGTTAAATTAAAAGTGAACGTAGAAAAAACACGCTCTGTATAGTTCTAATTTAATTTTGAATATTTCTTGGCATGTTGTCTGCAAATCAATATTCATTTCTTTAGTGCTCCATCTAATCCTATGTTTGACAATGAGTTTAAAGCGTACTATTTCAAGTATAGTTTTATATTTAAGTGTCTTTAAAAGTAGACTGTTATTTTCAATCTAGAAAGAAGCTGTTAAAAGAGAGGAAGCAATTGCATCTTTTGAAGCCTGGAAAAAAAAGAAAAGAAGAGAAGCAAAAACGTTAAGTGAAAAAAAGAAGCTTGAGGAACTTACGAAAAAGAAAGCAGCAGAACATAATAAGGAGAAAACAGAAGCAGCACAGAAGGTGATCTGACAAATGTACATAAATGTGTATTGGATACAATTTGAGAGATTGTTGTGAATAATTTTTGATTGATCCAACAAGAGGTGGAAATGAATTAGATTCTGAAATCTCAACATGGTTATTTTTTTAAAAAAGCTCATATTAGATTCTGTTCTGTTGGAAGTATCTAATGTTTACATTTGCACACAAATAGGCATTTTTCCATATTTGGATTCTATTAATGTCAAATAAACTATAAATCCCTTTGCCATGAACTATTACTTACTGTGAAAAATAATTTATTCTTTTTAGTTACAGTGATACCCAATTCTGAGCAATGCTACAAACATTCCAAAATTGGAATATGTATAAATTACAAAAAAAAAAAAACCAAACAAAACAAAAAAAAAAAAGCCAAAAAAAAAAAAAAAAACAAAAAACAGAATAAGCAAGTGGAGTATTGACAGAAAGGTGAGGGGTAAGATTTCTAATGAATCTGTGGTTTTCTTTAGGCATTCGAAAAATGGAGAGAAAGAAAAATGGAATATTTAAAAGAGCAAAGCAGAAAGGAAAAACAGTCTCAAAGAATCAGGAAGAAGAAGGAGGAGGAACTGGTTGCAGAGAAGAAGAGAGACAGTGTGTCAGCAGTTGAAAAATGGTACTGTTCCCCTGGGTTTTGGAATATCATAGTTTCCCAAATCTTTGGTTATAAATGCAATAGATCTGGGAGTGCTTGATGTGCTTTTACTTGGGAGACAGTGGCATGCTTGGGATCAGGCTCTTCGGTCCCAAGGGATAACAAGTATAACAATGAGAACAAGCTGTACAGCTCCTTTCAGTTTAGTAACTTAAATGCTTTCCTCCTCAGAAGGCTTCTGGAGAGATACTGCAGAGATCCCCAGGCAGAGATACTGCAGTTGAGAAGTAGGATTCATTGGGTAGTATAATGTCTTATGTGATTAGTCTCATGCTTCATTACTAAGCCATAGGGAGGAAGGTAAGTCTTGAAAGTTTTGTGTAATGCAGTGTATGAATGTAGATGTATTCAGAAGCAAATTACATGTGTCTGCTGGAGAAATTCTTTTAGTTTTACAAGCTGGTTTTCACAGACCATGTGCAATTTACCCACAGAAGTTCCAAATCTTAGGTTTCTTTATATGATACTAAATAAGGGAGAAAGTAGTACAGAAAAGGTGATGCCATGATAGATAGAATAGTAGGTTCATTTACACCTTAGTAGTATAATATATAAAGGTTAGACTTCGAAGATTTTAAGTAATGTGTTCTCAATCTTTTATTAAATGCATAAAATATCTCTTTTGGCTCCATTTAGTTAATCAGTTACAGATGCAGCATTTATTCTGTTACATGATGATCTCCCCTTCCACCGTACAGGAATGAAAAAAAGGAAGAATATATAAAACAGAAAAAAGTAGAGAAGATGCTAGAGAGAAGAAAACAAGAAATACAACAGGCAAAGAAGGAGGAAAAGAGTAAAAAGGCTATGGAGGAATATGAAAGATGGCTGGTATTTCTTTTTTTTTTTTTTTGCACTTTGTCAAAATTAAAAAGATTAATGTAGTAATGACTGTGAATGCTTGTAATACTCCTGTTTTTTCCTGCTGTTATCAGAGAGTCCAGATGATGGCAGCATCACATAACTATTCCCCCAAAATTCTTGAGCAAAATGGTGATAAAATACGGTGGGCTTAACATTTAGCGTACATGGAAAAAATATTCTCCCTACCTACATATCATAGGGTTTTGAATTTCATAGTTAGACTTTGTTTTTTGACATTCCATGTCAGGAGCAACCATCTCTGAAGGGCCAAATCACCACAGCACAAAACCTGCAAAGCCAGGCAGCATCACCAGCTGCAACAGTGAGTGCATATACATTCAAGGAAGCATTTAAAGTGGACGCTTGTATTACCTTATAATTGATAAAAGCACTTGTAATGAGGTTTGAGATTACTGCCATTTACTAAAAGGGTTGAACTCTGATGCTCCCTATTACGTTTTTCCTGCAACAACATACTTTAGCCACAGTCATTAAGCAGTAAAATAACCCAGTACTCTGGTCCCTACAGTAAGGCAGGGTTGATTTTTTTCCTTGCTACAGAAGGACAAATGAGAAGAGATCACTGGTGTTCTTAGCATATATTGTTTTCTTAAAGATGTGTGGCTTCCTAGTTAAAGAAAAACCTGCGTTTTTCATCCTCACCCTGTGACACAGTCATTCATTGTACTGACTCAATATTTCCTTAGGTTGAGACTGTTTCTTCTGTTGTCTCTTCCTTGTGATTTCTGGCACATGTCCTGTACATACTGTCTCTGTTGCCATTTATAAGAATGGGATTTTGCAACTCAGCTGGCTTAAGGTCCTTACAGGGATTCGTTTGGATTGTCAGTAGCTTAAGATCTTTTCCAGTCTCCAGTGGACTTTATGGTAGGGGTTTTTTTGTTTTTTTTTTTTTGGGGGGGATTGTTTTTTTTTTTTTTTTCGGGGGGGGGGGAAGGGGGGGAAATAGATGAGAACTGAGTGAGATGTATGGGTATGGGACAGATCTTACAAGGACAATCATCCTTTACTCTGCTATCTCAGAAATACGCAGTTATGTAAAAGAGCAGGAGCCTGCATGTTTTCCATTATCTCTATTTTCAAACATTTTTAGTCTTAGGCTTAAGTCTTTTAAGGTCTTCTTTGACCTGGTCCTCTGTTGGAATACCTCTGATTCTGAAATCATTGGTAAGAAGTGTTTTCTTTGGTCCCCTTTGTCAATTGATTTCCATTCAGCTTTGTCAAATGACTAGTGTCCAATCTTAGATTATTTCTTGCTTAGTCAATATTTCTAATTCCTGAGAAAGGTAGTACTGTACTTTGAGTAGTACCTAACACTCTGTCCCGGTATTCTCCGCCTACTGAGGCTATCCTCAATTACTGTAGTTCTACCAGAGCATCAGTGTTACATCTCATTGTACAACTGACTTCCTTGCTGTCTTGGACTCTGTACAAAGGTAAAAAAATGACTCCTTTTTTGGGGAATGAAACCTGCTTCTTTGCACAGGCTCCCCTGTTCAAATTGTGTATAAATTCCTGTGGTCATCACTTCAGTGGGACTATTAATATAAATTTCAATAGTTGGAGGAATGACTAGATCCAAACGGATGTACATGTGCCTGTGTGAGAGGAGCATGTACAGTTTGAAAAATAAGCAGGTGTTGGAGGATGTGATAGGTCCTGAATTGGTTGGCAGAGGTGCCTCTAAATTTTTCTCATTTTCAGTGTCTGTGTGCAGGTGTTGACTGATGTGTTGCATGCCGACTCTTCACACTTCCTGAAATTGTGCTGGTTTTCGCAGCTAACACACCTTTATTTGAGGAAGTGTATTGGGCAACAGCTCTGTTGTCATGTTTGGCCAGAACATTATCTGGCTTTGTATACTAAGAGAAATAAACGTCTTCAGTGAACTGCAGGATAGAAATGCCTATAAAGTTGTTAGTGTATTATCAAGGGAACTAAAATGATATCTGCCTACAGGTAGATAAACAGGCATCAAATCTGAGAGAGCAGAATTGTGGAAGTCTTAAGTGTATTATTTCAAATAAAGGGATTTTTATTTGAAGGGAACTAGAACAGGAGTAATATAGTAGGAAGTATTCTAATACGTTTTCATTAACATTCCACAGAAATAAATGTGTAATTCATCCTTGGCTTTCCTGAACCAGGTATTGACCGCAATGCGTGGGTAAAACAGACAGAATAATCTCCTTGTAGTTCTTCTAAAATAAAAGAAACATTCTGCTTTTATGTTAATGGGAATTCTGTTACTTAAACTTTTAGAGATCAGTGTGTGAATGTTTGGTAACATAAGTGCATAGAGAAGATTACTTTTTAAGCATTAAAATAAATGCCCTGAAAAAGGCTATTAACACTTGTAAAATACTAACATAAAATGGATAATCTTGAGTTGAGATACTTTTAGTATTGCTGAGGCAATTTAAGCTTCTGATTTTTTTTGTTTCTTTCCTAGTATTTGCCTCTTTCTACTTACCACGTACTCTTCAAGCTAATCTAGATGTTATGCTTGATAAATGAAAATTGTTTACTTAATATGTATTACCAGTGTCTGACACTTGTCATTGACATGAATGTATTCTGAGGAGCAACATGTGGAAAAGAATCGTGTAGAAAGTTTGTAATGACAGATTGGTGTAGGTTCCATTATTTTTGCAATGGTAATCTTGATACCTGTTTTCTGTGGAGAAAAGTGAGTATCCTAGGTATGTTATGATCTCCATATTACGTGATAAATGTTAACCTAGTATGAGTTGATGAAAAGTAAGGCTGCTCTCAAATGATTCTTGAAGATCAGCATAGTAAGGTTAACTGCCCTAAAAGAAGTTTGAAATTTTACCTTGAGGTCGAGCATGCTCAACATCTATTTTTGGCATTCTAAAGCTGTTTAGAAACGTCAGGAAATGATGCACTGGATGAGTCTCATGGATTTCTTGCTTTTCTGCTTTAGAAACAGCTGACATGGGTTATTCATTTCATGTCTTTTAATAAGATCTATCTGAAAATACTTTCTATATTAGAATTTTAATCTCCTGGAATTGCAATATGTTAGAAATAAGGCTGTTATTGTTATTCCTTTTAAATGTTGTAAGGCTTCTGTGCTATCTAAAATTCAATTATTATGTGGCAGTCATACTGCTAAAGAATGTGATCTTCCCAGAATTTTGTAAGTGAAAAATAGATTAATCTTACTAGGCTATTGAGTAGGAAGCTTCCACAGAGGAATCAAGCTATACAATCGAGTTGATCCTAGTGTATGACAAGCTACAGCTACTGTTTTAATCATTCACTGTTTCTGTTACTCTTCTCGTGTTAGTGCAAATAACATTTTGTTTATTATTTTAGGGAAGATTTATATCAGTTCTGTCTTGTGAGAATGTGAACTGTGGCTAGGACTAGAACATAAAAAGCTTTCTGTGTGTTGAAGGCAGGGAAGAAGACAGTAATTCTTCATGTCAAATTCATTCTTTTAAAAAACAATTAAATTAACTCAGGACTCTTTCCTTGGCACTGGGATTCATTCAGGAAAATTGAATCTTCAAACCCAAACATTCAAAACTGAAATAGGATTCAAAAATCCAAAGCAACTTTCATTCCCTTCCTGGATAGGTATGTGCTTTATCTTTGGGTTGGGTTTTTCATACATGTACTCAGTGAAGAGTGTTTTATAGACATAAAATATACACTTTTCTTTGTAAGACGTGATTTCTCAAATAATTGCCAATACTGCTACAGTACGTCCTCTTTTAATGAGTTTTCAATTACCTGTCCTGATACATCTTTCAATGTCAAATACAGATTCAGATTCTAAGATTTATGGAATATGATTAATTTTTTGTAAAAATAAATTGGCTGGATACGTGCAGAACTCCAAAACAGGAATATGAATTACATATACGTTCCTTTACAGAGCACATCCTTCCCAATCTTATCTGTACTGCTTGCACATATTTTGTCATCTTTGAAAAATATCACTGATAATGCAGACTCTTTTCCCCTTAGGGTACTAACCAATTCCCTTTAAGAATTCCAGAAAAAAAGACCTTGACTTTGTTCTGAAGGCCCAAAGCCACCAGTTGTGTTCATCCAAGGAAGATCTCTGTGGAAGGAGAAAAAAGGCAAAAGCGTAGGATGACACGGAAGAATCAGTCTTACAGTGCTACAAGCTCAGTTTGTCTCAATTACTCCACATAATCCAGAAAGATACAATTTGTATGGAGAGATACTGGGTTTTTTTATTAGATTGCGATGAACTTTTTGTATCGCTTGTTTTAGTGAAGGGCTTTACTTCTTCATGCAAACCTTGCCTTGCTTTTAATCAGCTTTACTAGTAGCAACATGAAATAATTATGTGGGGTTTTTGCCAGACCAGACATTCCTAACTGAATTGGATCTTCAGATTTACGTTAACGAAGACCTAAAGGACACAGATTAAAATCATATTCCTAGGGTTGACGTTTCAGTGCCTGATATGCTTCTTTAGGTTATTGCACACATCACATGTAACTAGCATTAGTACAGTTTGACTGCTGCATACATGTAAAACAAGAGAAAACTTCCACGCCAGCTCCCTTCCCTTACAGTAATGCTTCTGCCCCCATTGATGGCAGCTTTAAGCCTGCACATCCACGGTGCACCTTCACTGCCAGTGATGTGCATGCTGGCTGTTGGTCCTAGGAATGAGCGTGCTGTTCATGTGGCAGAAAGCCAGCTGCCCAAAGACCTTTCATCCACCTGTCAGGGTGTCAGTTATGCTCTGGTCCATAATGTCAAACTTGGTTCCACCAAGAGAGAAACCACTTTACGTCAGTAAGTGGTGTGCTCGGGCATGCACCACAAACCTGCAGGTATGATACAAGGGAAATTTGCACCTATAGAGAACTCTCCAGTGTAGTAAATCGCTCATGCAGATGCACTCTGAGATGCTGGTCCTCACAATGGTGAAAAGCAGTCATCTTTGCAAAGGTGAATGCTTATTTTATATAGAACAGAACAAAATAAAAATTCAATAATTATTATAAATAACTGCAAATTATTTTTTGAATGACAGGTCTCTTGAAAATCACGAGTTAATCAGGCACAAAAAGAATATTGCAAGTATCCTGCTTATCTGTCATCATCCTAATTGCCCATTGCTGTTTGAAACAATCGAAAATGTCATCAGAACCTTGCAGTGTTTCTAATATGTTAGATAGATATTTGTTTATAATGAAATTGTTTAATTCCCAGTTTGTTCTAGTACATGGCAAGTGTGATTTAATAAGTACAGAAAGTTACAAAGATGCATTAATGTTCTCATGTAATGAGAATAATATATTTAGCATTGTGATTTCGGTATCCTCTTAAAGAAAAAAAGTAATTAAGATGAGACTGATTATACCCAAGACAAATAGAGTACCTAATCCACTAGACCTTCTGTTGGCATTTTTATTTAGATAGTGCACAAAACCAGCCCATCCTCGAGACAGCCACCTTAATCATAAATGACATCAAGTGTGCAGCCTCTTGTGTTGCAGTGTGTGTGACTGAATCCCTAAAAGGGATGCGCTGAGCTCCAAAAGGCAAGTCTCTGTTGCATGATAACTTTTCATTTTACAGAAGGAAGGTATAACAATAATTGTAACTTTTCTGTTGGTGGAGTGGGTTTCTTGTGGGTTTTTTTGGGGTATTTTGGGGGGGTTTGTTTTTTTTTTTTTGACACTTCTTTTTATTCTCAGGAAAAGAAAGAGAAGAGGGAGCAGCTTGAGAAGAAGCAAAAGAATTTGCAGGCTGTCCATGGGGATGAAGTGCCTTGTCCCTGGAGTCCACCTGGCAAAGTCAGATATTCAAGGAATTACTGAGCAGTCTCTTGCCTTCTATGAGAAAAGATGATCCACCGAGTTCTGATAATGGCTAGTCATTATTTCAGTAACAGCTGACTTTCACTGAATCCACTATAGATGTTGCATCCTTTCTTTTTGATTTACTTGATCGCTGCAGTTTAAATGGATCAGTTGTCCCTTCCCACTGCATTAGAAAATGTACTGGGTTTTGTAATTCCTCATTTAACTTAGTTTTGCTCAGTCCTGTGCTACTTCATTCCTTTTGGTGGAAGTGTGTATTCAGGATACATAAGGCTGAGCTCTGGCATTCTTTTCACCCAAGAAGTAGCAGAATGGTTATTTTTAAGTTACTAGGCCACACTGCTGGGCAGTTAAGTCTGGAAGAAATGCTTTGAGGAGGTGGGGATGATGGGCGAGGAGATGTTGGCTCTCTTGGGATGATCAGAAGATGACAGAAGGTTAAGAAGTATGGTGGGGGACTTCATTTTCATACATGAAGAGACAAGCTACAGAGAACGTAATATAATTCGTAGATTATGTCACATTATGAAACATAACAATAGCTTTTAAATTAAAACTGCATCACGCAGAAACAGGATTTCACGGGGCCAAAACCAACCATGTGGTGGTGCAAAAGAATTAAACTGGAATCTATATAATGTAAAATGATCCAGGACTAGGTAGGACTGTAGCTGTTAATTCCATCTCAGGTCTTCCTATACATTCCACAGATTTCCTGCTTCCTACGGGAAACTGGTTTTAGGGGCAGGTTTTGCAGTTCACACAAAATCTTACATAGAAACTGCAAGGGCAGAACAGTGGTACTGGTATGAGGCAACCTTAGACACTGATAATTATTTTGGGGGAACTTAATTTAAAGGCTTCTGTGGTGGTTTTTACACTATCAAGTAAATCCTTGCCAAACTTGTTTTCATCACTGCTAATGAGCTAGTTGTAGTGAATTATTAAAATTTCTTCTGTTTTTTCATGGCTATTTGCCTCACTATTTTGGAAACAATGGCAAGACTACATGTCTTTAGAGATCTTCACATCTCTTGTTTGCCTGCTGTCTGAACTCAGGCTGTTACTTATGTTTCTGTTTTCTTACTTGAATTTTAATAATCACCCCAGACCAGATGTGCTCCTCAAGTGTGTATTTTTAAAAAAAGCCCACAAAAACGACATCACCAACTGAGAAGTAAAAAACTTAGTCTTTAAATTATAGATGTATTTTCTTAAAAATGAGAATCTTTCTCCTGTTTAGACTGACAGCCCCCATGGGAAGTCAAAAGAGCATTTGGGAAGTAGACTTGCCTTTTTCGCTTGAGTCCTGTGCTGTTCATTAAATCGCTGAGATACTCATTAATTTGCATTTCATGTAACACCGGGGCATTTCCTCAGACGAGAAAAACCACAAGAGAGGCAGGTGAATTTCTTTAGTTTCCCGATGCTTCTTGCTTGTTTTTTTACATTGTAGTTAGAGCCACTGAGGATTTAGAAGCGTTTGTTTTGGCCATAACTGTTTCTGTTACTGAAATGCTGTTCAGGTAAAATTTATTGCTGGTATGTATGTAAAAGTGAAATTAGAAGGATATCTATTCTATCTCATTGCTGAATATGATCCTGTTCGTTATTGTTAGTATGAACTCTAGTTCTGTGAATTCCTAATTCAGACCTTTTGGAAAGTTTATGATGGGCTTAAGCAGATGCTCGAAAGCAAAAAGATAAGATCTGTTTGTTAGAAGCAGTAGGTAGTGGTGCAGTTACCATCGTTAACCTAATTTCAGTCAAAAGACGTAGAGGAAGGCTTGTAAAATGTACACTGTTTCTGCTGCATATGATCTATTGACAGTGTCAAGGAGTATTTGCTAATCTTGAGAATAATGGTGAGGTTTCATTAGTAGTTGTGCTGGATTTGTATACAGCCAAATCATCTGATGGATCAACTTTGATCCATTGTGAGGAATGATGGCAGATTTGATACAGCTTCTAGATTATGAAGTATCTTTCTTACAGGATCAGGTTTGAGTATATTGCCTGGTTTTTTACATTGCATGTCTCAACTTCTAGTTGCCTTTCATGCACCTTGTTCATGGTAGCTCTGTTGTGTATTAGGATTTTTGGGTAGGTCTCTGCTGGGACTGTCTCTTGCTTTAAGTTCTGTTTCTTCCTCAAAAGACAATTTTACTGGACCTGGCTTTTATTCTTTTATCTGTTTCTAGCCTTCTGTTACTGGGCTGTTGAACCTGAAATATTGTGGCTGGAACAGTTTTTGTTCCATTGAAAAGTCTGTAGAGAAACCAGGGACGTTTCTGAGACCCATCCTTTGATTATACAGTCTGCAGGTAATGCACACTTGGTTTCTTCCAGTGCACTTTAATGACAATAGTGACCATTTTGCCCCTTTTGTGAGCCTCAGATTTGTGCCGAGAGTCATCACTCAAATGCTGAACTTCTGGATAAGGGCAGCATTCGTACAGGTTCATGCTAAGCTCATCTTTTCTCATTTGGGAGGAGGAGAACATTGGTCAAGAAGGGGAGAGGGCAGGAGAGAGGCTGGAGCTTTCCGAAGCACCCCGAGGCCTGCAGCCTGCTCTTGCAGAGCCGCCGGAGTCTGACTGTGTCCCTAGGCCGTTTGTGGGGTGGTTTTGTAGGCTCTCCACCCATGCTGAACTTCCTGCTCTGCAGTCTAGCAGATTGCATTACCACAGAAGTTCCCAGTTAGGGAATCCTGCACATTAGATTTTTTGCAGAGATCCAGTCAATCCAGATTTTAGCCGGCTTAAGCCAGTCTGTAGCACAGATGCTGCAGAGAAGCGAAGACGGGGCTTTCGTAAACCCTGGGTCTGGTTCTGACTGTTACCTCATGGCAGGTCAGGCGTTTTTTCTAGCAGTAGTGGTATCACGATGACAGGGTTGGCATTCAAAGAGAAAGAATCCACTGCCGACACACTTTCAAGAAGTTGAGATGTCCAGCCAGGGCAGCTTCAGTGGGCAACCTGAGAGGTACAGTAAAATTAGATACCAGTAAGAGAGACAGCAGAATTACAGCACAGGCAGAATGCAACAGAACTACCAACTCAAAACTGACCCACCCAAATTTTACGGAAAAATTATTTACAGAAAAATTCAGGCATTTGGGCTGGAGGAGTGATGTGCATCATTGGTCCTCTAGGCTTCTAGCACTTGGAGCCTTGAATTCAGGGTTAGTGTGTTGAGAAACTATAGCTATAATATCATGGGGAGATGAAATGTGTAGCAGACAGCAGAGTTTGCTGTAGAGCTGTCGTGGTCAGATCAGGAGAGTCTGAGGCAAAGTGATGCAGCCTGTGAGAAACAAATCATCTGGATCTTTATTTTTGCAGTGTCCAGCTAGAGGAGGTAAGGCAGGTCCCTACGCTGTAGTTGAGGGATGCAGATTAAAAGTGTGGCAGAGGCAGTGGCAGAGCTAGAAAAGTGTTTGTCATGTGCCTGTGCCTAAACTGAACAGTGCGTCCTTACTGCCTTTAAGCCTTTAGATGATTGGATGGAAAATGTTTCATGGAAGGTAGAAGTGGGAAGATGTTGGTGACATCTTTCAGAGGAGTGATATACCCGGCACTCACATAAATTCACAACTTCTCAATTAGAAAAAAGGTGCTGAAGGTCTGTAGACGTGGAAAAACAGTTGATACAACTGTGAGTTTAACTTTTGTAGTAGTTTTAGGAGCTTTGTCTAATTTTTCATTGTAAAAACTTGGATACGTTACAGCATGATGCAAATGTTGTAGAAAAAATAGAGCTGAGAAATATGAACATATGTACATTACTTGATAAATATGTAGATGTATCTGTATAAATCCTGTTAATGTGTTTATTGATGACAGAGGGAAAATATTTTGTATTTAATAAAGTGTATTTTAGTATAACGTCCTCAATGTTTTCATCAGATCCTAGGATACAAATCTTTATTTAAAGCTTTAATGCATGTAAATGACCTAGGTGCTGTCTGAAGCACGAGCTATTCTGTCGTCACTGTTAATACCACACGTAGACAGGGAATTGTATCCCACTGAAGTCAGAGCTTCCGGCACTACAGCTCTCTCCTGCAGCTCACCAACACTCACTTTTGCTTGCTGCCACGCCAATGCATACAAACAGTTAAGGAACACAGGGGTTTCCAAGTAATAACCTGGAAGATAATCAGTATCTCTCATTTTTTTCCCAAGTATTTCATTCAGGCATTAAGTTTGCATTGGTGCACTGAAAGGCAGGGTTGATGATAAATAATCTTCTATTCCAATTCTCTCGTTCTGGGTAAGAAGGATTACACGCTGTTCTCCATCATAGCTTTTTCTTTCATATTCACAAAATACTAGGTGATCTTACCCAGTGGGTACCTCATGGACTGCTGTGTTTCACTCGGTTAACTGTGTGTCGAACTGAGTTACTTGAACCTGACTAACAGGGATGAACTAGTTTGGGCTGTCAATGTTGACGGCAGCCTTGGCTGCAAGTCAGGAGCTGGACTTTCTCCAGTATGTCTGTATCTTTCTTGCACCGGGGAGCCCAAAACTGAACATGGTGCCCCAGCTGCAGTCTCACACGTGCCAAACAGGGGGGGGACAGTTGCTTTCATCCACCTGCTGAAAAGACTCTTGCTAATACAGCCAACAATGCTGTTGGCATTCTTTGCTGGAAGAGCCCGTGGCTGACTTACGTTCTTCTTCTTGTCTCCTAGTACCTCTACATCCTTTCCTGCAAAACTGCTTTCCACCCTGTTGGGGGTTCAGCCCGTGCTCTTGCATGGGGTTATTTGGCCCTGAGATGCAGGACTGACTTTGCCTTTGTTGAACTTAAAGGTTCTCATCAGCCCACTTCTCCAGCTCCCTCAGAGACACCCTACTTGGCTCCATGGACTTAACTATGGCCACTTAGCTGAAGTGCTCCCTTATTCTGTCCTCCGCCACAGTGCCTGAGGGCAAACCTCACCAATAAAAAAAAACCAACCAAACAAACAAACAAAAAAAGGCAAAAAAAAGCATCAAGTGCCTCAGCCTTTTCCATGTCGTGTGTCACTAAGTCACCTGCCCCCTGAGCAGCAGGATCGCGTTTTCTTTCACTGTCAGTGTACTTACAGAAGCCCCTCTTGTTGCCCTTCAAGTCCCGTATGAGCTTTAACTCCTGCTGAACTCTGGCTTTACTAAATCCTTCCGTGCTCACTCAAGTAATGGCTCTATATTGCTCCTGGCTGGCCAGTACTCTCCACCACCTGTGTGCTTGCTTACTGTCCGCACTTGGGCAAGAGAGCCCCGTTCCTGCGTGCTGGCCACCTGCCACCCTTGCTCAACTACCCCCATGTCAGAACGGGCCGTTCTTGTGTTCTGACAAGGATGTTCTTGAAGGTCAACCAACTCTCCTGGGTCCCTTTCTGCTCCAGGGCAGTCTCCTGTGAGATTCTGCCGAGCAGATCCCCGAACAAGCCATCATCTTCTCTCCTGAAGGCCAAGGTTGTGGTTCTAATGCTTACCTTGCTTGCTTCGTAGAGGATTAAAAGCTTCACAGTCTCAGAGTCGTGGTGGCCGAGCGGCTGTCAGCTTTCACAGCCCAGATTAGTTCATCCCCGTAACCATGCAATAACTAAGCCCAAATCCCAAGCACCTCTTAGGTCATCAGCACTTCCACCTTCACATTTCTACTGAACCGTTGGCTTTTAAAGAGCATTTTCTAAAATTGTAATAACATTTATCGGTTAGATTTTCCCCTAATGGATAATAAAGTATTTGCGAAACTCTTACCTTGTTATTTCAGCCTGGGGCATGGAGACGACTGCTCATATTAGCAGATTGCATTCAAGCTATGTTTTCAACATAGTACATAATTTTAGCACCTACACTCAAAACAGAAGAAAAGCGCTAATGAAAGCCCTGGGTATTACAAGGTATTTTTTTTACTACTATTTAGCTTATAAATAGTCTTTCTGTGATGCTTTTATTTCTGGGTAGATTCAGACTAGAACAGCTGAAAGTTTTTTCATTAATTCTTCATTTAAATAACCCATTATAGGTTAATAATTTTTCATGAATAGAAATATAAAATGAATATATTTTCATTTTCCTGAGTATGAAATGGGATGTCCAGTCCTTGATGATAACAAATGACAGGAGGATAACATTGCTTTCAAGCATCATTAACTCAGAACAAGTGAAATAGGATGTTCCACCATTTAACTCTTCTAGTGCCCAGGTGTAGCATAGATATTAACAACAATACTCTGGTTGACTTATATTTTTCTTTTCACCTTTTAACATGGTGTAATACATTGGGGACCCATCCCTGTATGCTGCTTTCCAACAAAATAATTAAAGAAAAACAACAGGAAAAAGGAATTTAGAGGAAGGGAAAATATTCAAGCCATCCTCAATCTGTTTCACTTTCTAGAAGAAGCAGCTGCGGCATCATGGAGAATAAATGACGTTTGGGGAGAAAATGTTCTTAGCTACCCTGAATTCCTCTGTGCTTCTTAGCACTGCTAATCTTGAAGTATAACGAGGATGTGCAGAGGTGATTTGGCACCTGGTCTAACAGGCTGGTCATGAAACCCTGGAGTTTACCCTGCAGAAACCCTGCAGGATAACTTGCCCCCCATCCTGAAGGGCTGCTGGGGGACCTGGGGATTGCCAGTTCTGCTCCCTGGCACAGGCAGGATGGTATCCTCCTCATATCTTCCCTCCCCATATCAGAAGTGTCTTTTCACTGACAGCTGTGGGCAAAACCGGAGCAGCAGTTAACTCATCCAATAGCTAACCACTGCAGATAACTTTCTAAACTTCCCAGATTTGACTTTTATCTAAGTAGATCCTTGTTGATACAATTTTATTGCCCAGACCCTCTACCACTGAAGGAGAATGTTGTCCTTGATTGAAACAGGAGACAGAAAGATTTATATTGCCAAAGCTCAGGGAGCAAAATTAAGACATTCAGGCCTTTCTTTAAATATTTTTTGGCTGTCATGGTGAAAGAGAGGGTACCAGTGAGAAAATATAAGCAAGCAGTGCTGTCATTATTAAATTTATCATTTGTAGAAACATCAGCAGTTATGAATGTGGTGCTCAATACTGCACAAGGAAAATGGAAAGATGACTTGCCACAGAAGGCTCCCCACCCCAGAAGAGGCATAATAGAGATTTATTCAAAAGCACAAGGAGAATGAGGATGGCCTTGGGAAGGCAGCAGCAGTTTCAGAACAGCAGCCGTGGTACAGTTGTACCAACAGCTCCTGGCAGTTTGATTTCACAGTCCATCAGCTATTGTCCTTGCTTGCTATCTTGCCTTTAGCAGACAAAGCCAATGTGCTGATTTTCCCCTTGGCTCTTCTGCTGACTGTGTTGTCAAGCATCCTCTGGTTGCCATCTTCTAATGTACCAAATTTTTGGTCTTTCTTGCTTAAGATACCAAATGATTCTGTCCATTTTTGCTGTCATACAGCACCTCCAAAAGAGATCAATCTACTCAGAGAATGAATCTGCTGTCAGTATTGCTGTAGAATCTGAGGTATTATTATAACATTAAACCCTAGCATCAGCTTGATACTTATTTTCCCTTAAACAGATGGTAGTGCATCAAGCTGTTAAATTTCACCTCAGCACAAGTAACATTCGGCTTAAAGTTTCTGTTCCTCGTGTGAATCAACAAAGTGTAGGAACACTGCATTAGAGAAAAGCTCTTTGCAAACAGCTATGCCTTTGTAACCTACCCAAAAAAAGGGCTCATAATAATGAACCCTGATTTTCAAGCGCAAACTATGTTTTTTGGCTTACTGAGTATCACTAGAAAGAGAGTTTATGTGCAAATAACATCAGGGCAATGATAGGTGGAAACAACAGGATAAATAGCTCAAGGCTCAACCTAGCAAGTGCACATTAAGTGTCTCACGAAACCTGCCTACTGACTTGCAAGTCAAATACCCTTTATACTATTGCTTTTATGATTCTCTTTCACCTTTTCTCATGCAGGTGCTTGTTTTAAATAGTCACATGCACTGGTTAAATCAGTCATAAGAGGAAGAGCAGGGAGAGTTTTACCGGTCCGTGCAATCCTTGCTGTCGGTCTCTGAGCTGCATGTAGAAGTAAAATTATAAAATGGGCGTGGATGCAAACCAGAAGTCGCTAAAAAAAAATTACCTGGCAAGACTGTACGACTTGAAATTACTGCCATGAGGGAGGGAAACACGATGTGCCAGTCTATAGTCCAGGCTCAGGGCCTTGCATCAGATGCCACTGGAATGGTTTTCTGCACGGCTGTGCCATTGGGTTCGTATAAAGGTGTCCCAAGGGGCCATGCCACAGAGCTGCGATAACATCCTGAGCTCGGGGACTGCCTCTCCACTGGTGGGGTAAAACAGAGCAAGGACAAGACTGGCTAGTGGGGTTTTGTACAGGCTTCACTGGAATATCTCTTTTCTTACCTGCCAAAATTTGGGAAAACGCCTCTGAGAAAGCCTCTGCCCACATGTGCCAGAACAGGATTTACCGTGAGCACAATGTGTTATAGTCACGGCTGGCAAGGCTCTGTTTTCGTCAATTTAAACATTGATTCCTAAAAAAAATGCATAATCTGTTGCCACAGTAAATCACTCCATGGGCAATAAGTGAGTCTCACTCATCTTTAGCAAAACACACAGTCAAGAATTAGCACACACATCACATCTTCATTGCTCTTGTAGTGAGGCCTAGATGGACCTTGAATATTATGAAGAATACTTAATGGAAAAAGCAAGGATTGTTGTTATGGCCACACTTAAAACCTTAGCAGGTCAAGGACAGATCCATCCTGTCTCATGAATGCTGAACTCCAGCTCTGTAAAACAAATCAAGATCCTAAGTGACTGAACTTCCCGGAGATTTCACTTGTATTCATGTCCA